AGAATATTCATAACATTCACAGCATTTGTAAAAATATTCAGAACATATGCAATATTCGTGTCAAATTCCGATATTTGAGTAAACATTTAGATATTCATTCGACTGAATTTTTTGTCATATGCCCCTAGAGAATATTGCTAGCCCGGGCTTTATTGCATCTTTTCCGAACGTGATTGTTGCTGCGTGCAAATTGTTGCTTCTCTCTGCCACTGTCGCCGCCGCAAGAGTGGCATCATCAAATGGAAAAATGCAAAATTGAAACTATCGCTCGAATGTGCATAAGTTTTGAATATGCATTGTAACCGATGTAAATAAAATGTCATTCCCGATCGTTTATTGATGTGAAATATGGAATAGAAAACGATGGGCGGAAAAACAGCCATCCACTCACTCAACCACCATCAGTGCTGCATATACAAAAGGGAATATTTTGCAATACGAAAAGAAAATCAACAACCATTTCTATCACTTTATGTGTATATAATAAGTGGATTTGCACTATTGTTTGTCGAGTGTTTTTCATGTATGGCTGCTCCTTTCGACACACCTGATGTAAACGACGCGACGCAATCGTCATGCCAATATCGGATTTGTGCGCTTCGTTAAAGTGGCAAAGGTGTGTACGCAACAACAGCTGCAAAATATGATGATTTTCTCATGCATGCCTCGTAACATCCACACATTGATAGGCTATTCGGGAAGAAAAAAATCCGATTCAAATGATAATAAATCTAAAAAGCTCAAGAAAAAAATCTGCTACCGATCCACGTATATTGAATTTCTTATTCGATCGACTGCTAATAGTATCGATTCTATTAACCAAAATCTGGTCCCAAAAATTGTTATAAATTTCCATCTTTTATGCTTATGTGTAGGTAACTTTACTTTTAAGGTATCAAATTCCATATTTTGGATATTCTCCTGGTTTTTTTTTTCTTTTTGATATATATATATATATATAGTTCATGCAAAAATGCCCTTCTAAATATTCAATTCACAAACTAATGATATGAATTCGGTTTTGCAGGTTTTACACGTGATTGATGATATACTGACGCCATTAATGGCAAATCCGGCCACATCCAGCGATATAAATAATCCAGATGCTTTTCAATTCTTAACCTATTCGGATAACTTGGATATTGGCGGTCATCGAATTCGGTGAGTATCTATTTGTGTCTTATTTATGATGTTTGCTATGTGTACCTCTCTCCTCGTCTCTCTCCCTATCTCATTCTTACTCTATATTGGCTGCAGTCGCTTTCTATGGCGCATACACACAAATTCGGGCATTGTATGGAATTTTAATGTTGTTATTTTTACGTGTTCACAGGTCTTATCGTCAGCGTGTTATTGCTAACACCAAAGAGTTAGTTTACCAAGCGAACGGCGGTTTTACATTCTTCATTCCGGTGGAGGAAGGCTTTAAGGTGAGCCACTGAACTTTTTTCCAATACAAACTCCGTGTAAAGTTGTGCATTACGACGCGTTATTTATCCTAAATGTTTGTAAGATTTGAGCTTACATACAAAGTTTAATTCTCATCGGTGTCGGAAAATACATCATCATAGCAAGAGCTGGATAGAGTCTATTTTGGCCTTACAATAATGTAGCAGGGCACAATGCGTTTTCTTCATTGCACTTGAAATTTATGCATACAAACTTTGCACGCCGACACATTTAATCGAAAATAAACATTTGTATTGTAAGCGTGTGCACTGTGCAACCTGCATGATGATGATGCATATTGGAAGATAATAATAATAAATCGCATTATACATTGAATGTATTGAACTGTCTGCTTGGTTTTAAAATATCATAAATAATATATATTCTGTACATTTTAGCCACATCCACGTCCGGATCTTATTGATAAGAAAGTAATTGATGGACATATTATTCCAAACCGTGTTGTGTTCACTAAATCAGCACCCATCGAACAGCCATTCGAAACGCTCGCATTCGAAGATAACATCAAAGTTACAATTACGTTCTTTACACAGGGCGAGGGCAAGAATATGAAAAGTAAGTTCGGTTCACAACCATATCCATCTCAATATTTCATAATAAAATATGAATATTTTAATTTATGAACTCATTTCAATTGATATTTGCTTTGCCTTTCTCTCTCTCTCTCTCTCTCTCTCTCTCTCTCTCTCTCTCTCTCTCT